CATGCCTAAATGCACTGAGTTACCGCCATGTGATTGGCTGCTTAGAAATTAAGTGTTAACGAGCAGTTGGACAGGTGTTCCTAATAAAGTGGCCGGTGAGTGTATATATGTATGCAACTACATAACAGCCTCAGCTGGGTTAATCGGTAAATCTGTTATTCTGTTCCGTCCTTACTTTTACATTCATAGAGATATGTTTGAGGTTTTTAGTTTTTTTTAAGGGCTTTGATTCTCTTTTCAACAATGTCTTGTTTTGGTAAAGGAGATTCTGAGACCAGAAAGCCAGCCAGAGATCCACTGCTGGAGCTCGTCTCACTGCAGAATGCTTCTGGCTGCTGGCTGCTTGATCCATGTTTGGCTGCGGCTCTGCAAAAAAACATGCAGGAGCTGGAAGAAACAAAGCCCAAATCGGTGGGTTGGCATCACATAAAAGAGGAGCTATATTTGAGCAGCTGGATAAGAAATGAAAATTTACTGTAGATGCAAGAGAAAAAGAACATCCAATACACAGTTATTTAGGTGAACTCGCTTTCATCTTCCCAATATTTCTTTTTTGCTTTCTTCTGGGGACCTAGGTGAAAAAGGAAGTGTGGGCCACCATTTTGGCTTTAATCTGGCTTCACGGCTTCAAAGTGGAGGAAAAAGATGAATGGGAGCTTCTTGCAGCAAAGGCTGCATCGTGGCTCAGAGCTAAGAAAGGTAACATGCATCGTCCCGGTTAGTGGACGCCACTTTTAAGGCTCCATTCAAAGATGTTTAACTCAATTATTTGTTTTCTTTCCTCAGTTGTTTGCCTGAGAGCCTGTGTTGAAGCTGGGAATGTCCTGTTAGGCTGTAATGTGCAGACTGATGCTCTGGGACTCTGACATCTCTTCTTCTGCAACCTTTCTGAAGCATTATATATTTTTTCAAACTGCACTTTTTTTTATTAGAATGTAATCAGAAATGTTTGTTTTTTTATTTTTATATAGTGACAGAAATGCTGTGTTTGTGTTTCATGTCAATATTGACTGAGCTGGGTTTAAATTTTTTAACCAAATACTGACCTATGGTGATTTGTTCCTGCCTTATTTGCTTACTTTGTCGGCTTCTGTGTATCCATCTGCTTTTTAAGAATCTACCATAAGTTTCCTTAATGTGCATCAGAACAGTAGCATTGTTGATGTTCTGCAGTGGTTCCCTTGCAGGTAACATTTTAAGAGGAGGGCCCTTTTTTAAAGCTGTTTTTTGTTGAAGTCGTTTAAGGCGGACTTATGATCTTGGCTACATGAAATGAAGAAGGTTTATTATCATTACACTGATGACAAAATTAGCATTGGTTTTAGTAGCAGCAAAATATTCTATTTGATATTTAAACCGTATTTTTCACGGTCTTGGTTCTGTTAAGTTTTCAGTTTCACATTGATCCATGTTTTTCTTTGTTTTCTAGTTTTATTGATTTAATTCCTATTTTGTTGTGTTTTCTGGCTATATTTGAGTTCTTAAGTTTTTCTTGGTTGCCCTTCTTCTTCTTCTTCTTCTATTTTTTTAATGGCGGTTAGCAAACAACTTATAGTTGCATTACCGCCACCTTCCAGAATGGAGTATGAATCAGACAAACTATTATATTCTCCCTAAAATACCCGTTCTCCTTAGAAAATTTAAAATACTCCCAAAAACTACATCCCCAGATGACCTTTGAAACAGTTCCCTTATATCTAGTTTATTTTTATTCCTGCCTAACTCTCTACGCAACATTTCTCTTTCCGGAGTATATTTATTGCATTCTAAAAAAATATGTTGGACAGTTTCTAATTTCCCACAAATACAACACCCTGTATTATGCTTATTCATTATTTTAAGAGTACTATTTAATCCTGTATGTCCGAACCTTATCCTAGATATAATATCTTCTTCTTTTTAAATTCTATTACATTTTCTTAATTCTCCAACCTTTTTTTTGAATACTATAATAAAATCTAGCATTCACTCCTTTATCCCACTGTTCTTGCCATTTCTTCTTGAAATACATTTTTATAATATTCTTTAACTCATTTTTACTAATGTTAATGTTTAAATCAACATCTTTTTTTACAGCACTCAAAACTGTCAGCTAACTCATTACCTATAACACCAATGTGAGCAGCTATTCAGACTAATTTAACAACAGAACCACCATTTCTAATCCTAAAAATTGAGTGAAAAATATCCAATATAATATCTTGCCTTGATTCTGAATTAAATTCTAGAATACGTATTAATGCACTACTTGAATCTGAACAAATTTCTTGGTTGCCCTCTTGTGTTGGTCTCCTTTTACACAGCTCCTTTCTAGAAGTCTCTGTTCACACCTGCTCCCAATCAGCTCGTTAGTCCTGTCTCTGTTCAGTCTCCCATATAAACTCTTCCTGTTCAGCTCCTCAGTGCTGGTTCCTCGTCTTTTCCTGGCTCCTCATGTATGTTTCCCCTGATGTCTCCAAGGTTCTGTTTTTTTAATGTACTGTTGGATTTTTGGATTCCTACCTCAGTTGCATGTGAGTACTAAATTAAAAACTACAAAACACACCTGTGCCTCCTCACCTCTGCATTTGGGTCCTCAAAACCTCAACTAAACCCCAACAGTATTAAACCCAGACAGTATTGTTGTCCATTTATTGTTTAGGT